GAAATCAATAAAAACTGCCCACCTGAAGCTCATGGCACTGCGCATCACAGAGGTAATAAGGTAAATCCGAGGCTCGATTTCAGAGAAGAGTACAGGCCTGAAGACAGAGGAAGATGCTCTGAAAGTTACTTAGAGGGACTTTCCCGCGGGGGGGGGGGGGGCATTGCACCTTAGAAGAGGTAAGGAAGACAAGCTCTGAGGAATGTCTAACTTCATGCCACAGGATTGTTATCCAGTAACTGGTACCCCCCACCCCACCCAAAAAACCCCAGAGCTGCAGGGTCCCGCTGACCATCGCCGTGGAAATATCTCAAGCCACAAAGTCAGAGGGGGGTGGTGCCACTAAGACACACACCTGACAGGGGTCATCTCTCTCAGCATGTAAAGGGCATTCCAGTCGAAGGTACAGGATCGCCTGATTAGCGCCCCCTGCAGGTACGTGACTGGCACTGAAGCGCAAACACATTAGCAGTGACACAGTTTGTGATGCCATGCTCTGTCGGGCCCGTCGGCAGGTCGCGGGGCTCTCTGGGCAAGGAGTAAATGACCAGCTTCTTTGGGGGGGGGGGGGGGGGTTAAAACTCGCCAGCAAAGTAACACACCCCCTTTTTGTGGGGTGACTACCCCACCCCCCGGTTTTTACAAATAAACAAATATACGGTGTAATTCTTTGGCGTGAAAGCAAGCTACTGTGCTAGAAGCTGCATAACATCTTGCAATCATTTTCCATCCATCCAACTTCTAACAACTTATTCATTGCTGAGTTGTGGGGTGCGGGGGGGTGGGGGGAGGGGGCACACCCTGAGCAGGACACCAGTTTTCAGATTTTAAGCCCCAGAAAAGCCTGATGTATCAGTACCGATAGTCAAAGAAATAAAAAATTACTTCCTTAAAAAGTACTCCAATGTCAAGGTGCATCAAATCACAGTCGAACAGTCAACAGCTCTGTTACTGCGAATCATTACAGAGTTTGCCCAGGAGAACATTAACTGCCGGCATCAAAGCTGCATTTGGCAGTGAATCACGGTGGGACACGCTGCACGTTTGCCGACTGTGCCGGAGGGTATGGCTCTGCGCACGGCGGGGGGGGGGGGGGGGCGGGATGAACGGATCCCGCTATTCGGCCGGGCCGGATCTCCTTTGGAGCACAGTGCCACGTGACAGCCCTCGTTCACTTTCTCACGAGCCGCGGGAGGCAAAGCCAAGGGCGATTTTTCCGGAGGGTGCGTGGGGAAAAATGGCTGGCTCCCTTCCGTTACACGTTTCCAAAGAAGCACTTTGAATTGAAGGCAAAAAACACACACACACACACACACACCCTGCATTTGTTCGAGGTAGGCTAGCCTCTTGCACTATGCAGAGTCTTGCAGAAAAGGAACATGCGATTATATCAGTCACGCATTTTTACTATGGTGAAAATTATAGCATTTACATATAATTGTGAAAAAGCGACCGACAGCTTAACAAACCCATAGCAGGGGCCGTGATGTCAGACGCTGTACTTACCCAGGGAAAGTAAACAGAGAACGGGATCAGACCGCCCCCTAAAGCGCGTAAAACCCCACCTACAGAGACGCTGCCGGGCCGGAGAGCGAGGTCCGTCAGGCCGACCTGCGGCAAACCACTGCAGCCCGGCCACGCCGCGGAATCGGCTGGCAGCAGACGTGCAAACCCAGGCGTGTGTATCCATGTGGGGGGGGGGGCACATTCATTTAGAGAACAGGGCTGTCGGCTTTAATAAGGAGACACTACGGGGAGGTAAACGACCCCCCAGGGAATGGAGATGGGAGGGGTTGATGGCTTGCAGAATCGATACAGGAGACAGAGCGTCCAAGCGGACGAAGCTGACGTGTCACGTACAGGAACAAGAAGGGGGGCGGGGGTGGAGAATCAACGGGGGGGCACTCTTATATTTACAACACAGAGTGGAAGCTGAATGAACACATGGCTACATTACCCGAGTATAACCGCACACTCACAATGTGGGGGTGGGCAGGGCAGCAGTTTAAAAGTGCCCCCCCCACACACACTCACTTTGGCCTGGCACTCATATCCCAACCCACTCCAAAGCACTAAGTGCCGCCTGCACACTGGGTTCAGAACCCACAGCATCCCCCATCTCGCCGACAGCAGGCCGAGATGAAAGCTTCTCATCAGAGCAAACCGACGGGACCTTAATCCCGCGAACAATTTGCCTGCGATTATTCCGCTTGCGATTCGGATTTCACAGAGGATCTGGAGGAGGGGGCCACGGCTCGACGGCACCCGCTAACATCTTAAAGAGGAGAGGGGGGCCCAGCCATAATTTTTGCAAAAGGATCCATTAAAAGCCTGTTAGGAGAGAGAGCCAAACAAACTGGGAAGGGATGGTCATTGTCGTGCTTTCCCAAGGGGCCTGGTCATGCAGAGGCTCACCGTCACCACCAGGGGGCCTTTCCCGATTCCAGACGGCGGCACCGCGTTTAGATAACGGCTCGTCAGTCCTATCTTTACACGGCTCCTTAATTAGATTAGAAAACCCCGCACGCCGGCCTATTTCGAGGGCCCTGTCTCGATCGTATCTTCATAATTAGTCTACTTCCATAATTGGCACGAGCTTTTCCGATAGTCTCCATCCAGCGAGAACGATGCTTACGATGCATTTTAATGGACATAAACTTTAATAAATCGCAATAAACCCACAAATATCTCTCAATGCCAGGGAAAGTATGAAAAGCCTTAATATCAAAATAAAATTAGCGGACTAAAGTGGCATTACTGTTAAAACGAGACACGGCTTAATATTAATTAACATTTAAAAAAAAAAAAAGTCTGAAAATTTGGCTGAGATCATTTCATTTTAACAGCTTGAGTGTAAAGCGGTAATTGCAGCAACAAAACCAGCCTTACTCAGTATGCTGGACCGGTAAACGGGTTTTGTCTTAAAACCCGGGGCCGACTGCAGACTATTCGGTGTGGTTGCCTAGGTGACCAGTGCACCTGCATGCGTCTGTGTGGACTATGTTTATATTACATTGTGGGGACAAAACGGCCCCCACGACGTGATGAAAACCTGTTATTTTTTAGGTCCCAAAAGATCTGTGAATGCAATCAAAAAACTAAAAATACCTAAAGTCTCGTATTTTGTTTGGTTACTTATGGTTAAGGTTAGGGCTGGGTAGGGGTTAAGATTATGTTGGGGTTAGCGTTCTCCCCATAGAAATGAATGGAGAGTCCCCACAAAGATATAATTACAAACCTGTGTGTGGATAGCGGACACATGCAGTGTGAGGCGGGGGGTGGGGGGGGTTTACATCTCAGAGTGGGGAGGCATGGGGAGCTTGGGGACTCCAGAGGCACCCTGGTCAGATGATCTCGCACCCACCTCCTGCTGTAGTGCAAATACAGCGGCCCCAGAGGAGGACGTGTGGCGCCCCCTATAGGACAGTCAGGGCGATACAGGAAGCATCAAATTAAGAGGCCTGATCCAGCCCAGCTAAATGGACATGCTGATATTTTAACCCACCCCCCCTCTACACGAATCAGCAGCTTTGCTTATCCTCGTAAAAGCAATCATAGGTCAGTGAGTCAGACGACCTAAGGCGCTTTCCAGGCAAATGGCTGTGCCCCCCCCCCCCCCGACCCCCAGTGAGAATGAGCCACTGGGGAGAGCTACATTACCTTAAAGCCCCCTCCTCCACGGGGGCACCAGTGGGTACAAGAAAAGGCAAGTGGGAGTTTGGGTGGTGTGTGTGTGTGTATGGAGGTGGGGGGGGGGGGGGGGTGTTGAAAAAGCCCCCAGAGTGCAGGGGGAGAAGTAGTGTTGCCATGGAGCCAAAGGTGTAAACGTGCCGCAAGATGGAGACCGACGGCTCTCGCTATTCCCCCAGCACGGCGGCTAGCGTTTCCCCAAAACGGTGAGAATTAAACACCCAAGCCGCACCTCCCCTGCAGAGGCGGGAGAGGGGGGGGGCGTGGTGGCGTTAACATCTCACGTAGCAGGAAGCCACCTCAAACAGCGCTTCGCTGCGGGGAAAACGATTCCGACTGTTCGGACTCAAGTGCGATCCGAAGATTTGAAGCCCCACAAGAAATATAGGAGGAAATCTCTAAATTGACTTTAAATCACCTTTTCAGGGAGCTGAGACAAAAAATAGGATTGCTGGGATTGCCGATGATGGGACCGATCCCAGCGAACGCGAGAGTCTTTCCCGCAAACTCGCAACCCTAACGCCCCACAGCCGGGATTAATCAGCACTAACGCACGCCTCCTTTCAGCACAAAGCAGCTCCTTAAACGTTTTTTAAGTACAGAGTCACTTTATTTTCCCAGCAGCACAACAGGCAGCACTGCTAAACGTCAGGGCGATGGATTAATCACGAGCGGCTCCACAGATTCCTCCTTTCAGAGAAATTTCCCTCCTTCCTGCCTCTTGTGTGGAAGTCCGCCCCTCAAAGCAGAGGCTTCTCTCCTCTCCGGACTTCTGAGCTTATTATGACCCAGCAGGCCGGCCCACGATACGGTATCGCTTCTAACGGACCTTCATCTCCCACATCTTAACAGCCTTCCTCTGAAGAACAGAAGCCACTCACAGGGGCACCGTTCCTTGGACGTCAGGAAGCTGCCGCCGGTGACATTTTCACATTCCACCCCTCGTTACATTACATTCTCTTATTTATGGACTTTATCCAACTTTGATTCAAAGCGATATACAATTGAAAGTGGGGTCAGTCAGTCACAGGAGCACCTGGGGTTAAGGGCCCTGCTCAAAGGCCCAACAGCGACATCACTCTGCTGACCCTGGGATTTGAACCAGCAACCCTCATGTTCACAGCATCGTAACCCATTGAGTCACACACCGGCCACCAACTTGGCTAAGGGTAATTAATGAAAGTAAGGGTAATTGGGTAATTAAGTCCCGGCCCACATTCTCGTCAGATTAAAAGCTGAACTCGTGAGCGCCCCCTAGGGGTGCTCCGGGATGGTGCAGGACCCCCCACCCCACCCCGCCGCCAGCTCACCTTCTCCTTGCGCTGCCGTGCTCCCTCCTCCGCCGACACCAGCGTCTTGTAGTAGGAGCTACGCTCTGCGGTGAAGTGGACCTTGGAAAGGCAGTGTTCCACCAGGGCCACTGACAGGTTCACGCCGTCCACGTGCAGCCAGCCGATGAAGCTGCCCGCCTTGTCCATGCTCTCTACCTCCACCTCCACCTGGGGGAATGGGCTTTAATTAATACACAGGGCTCTCACCGTGGGAGGGGGGGCCAGGGTCCATCGCTCCGTTGCCCGACCGGTTCCCCAGGGGTCCGGTTACCACAGATGGACATGGCGGTCTGGACCCGTCAGCAGCCAGCGTTCACGCCCGCCGTGGCATTTCCGCCACCCGATAAGGCGCCTTCCGGCGCCGAGCCGCCCGCGATCACGGCCAGGCATTCGTAATAAAATTAACACAGGACAGGAGCCCCAGTCTGTAAGGCCGTAAATCCCACCGGATTCTGAGCTCTGAACAACAGCATGAAAAGTTTATTTAAATCAAGCCGCAGACAGAAGCAACGAAGGCCGAGAACGGAAGGCCGGGCTTCCGAGACCCATTGCCGGCGCTCCGGGTATTTGTGGGTTTACCGGAAAATCCTTACAGGAGCAAGTGGAGCGAGTCTGAAGACAAGGAAGACGTGAGGAGAGACTGATTAAAACGAGTTTGGAAAAGCGTTGGTTTCCCTTTTAAAGTTCTATCCCAAAGTGTGGCAGCAGCTCATCTACGCTGTAAGCGGAGGAAGGAAGGGACTGTGATTCCTGACTCGCTGCGGTCGATGCCCAGGTGGCGGCATGGCGATACCACCCCCCCCGAGCGTCTGTCCCAAGCAGGCTGCCCCCTCCACTCTGCCAGCAAGCGGCGCGGCTGTTTAAGCGAAATTGCCGCACGGGCCCCGGGCAGCAGAGCAGGGAAGCGGACCGTACTTCCTTCAGGGTCAATCTTCGGGGGGGGGGGGGGCAGACAGGCAAACAAGCCTGGGAACAAGGCAGCTGGCGGTGAGCTTTTGGTTTGGGACGGCGTATGGCCACAGTGGGGCTGCTTCGTCTAATTGGCAGTAATGACTGGCAGCCGGCAGCCCCCCCACCCCCAGACCCTCCCTTCTTGAACCCCCCTGACCGTGACCAGAACCAGAGCTGGAGAAGCCCAGTGGAAAGAGGCCTTTTTGGGTTCATTTTGCTGGTTTTCTTGGGACGGGCTTCCGAGGGACAAATTAAGGTTCAGGACACTGACTGCGGTTCGAGGACCAAGCCTTCACCCCCCCCACCACACACCAAGGGAGTGGGATCGGCAGAGCAGGGATTCCAGCTGAAGCGTCCCGGACTCGGATCACCTACTTCCAGACATGTGTCCCAGCGAGAGACCATCGGAAGCTTCAAGCAGCCTCAGCCGGATAAATCAGGCATTTAGCAGCGTGGCCCCGACACTCAGGAAAGGACCAATCGGCTCTGAAGCAACACACACCTCCAGACACGTCTATATGTGACTAACTGACGTCATGTGACAAGTGATCTCCCCTCGCTTTGCATGACGCCGGCGATTTCTGAAGCTCAGGAGCAATTCTTCCGTCTTTAACCAAATGGCTCAGATGGGAATTGCAACCTGGAGGCCGGGATCAATCAGTCCATCAAGCGAGTGGCCCCGCCCACATAGCAACACCAGTCTGTCGTGCTCAGCATGGCTATTGGACGGCAATGTCATGTGACACGGTCATGCAAGCAGCAAGTGAAAGGCGAATTAATCCAGAGACGCTAACAGGGTAACTGGATGGCAGGGCACAGTAACAGTGAACCAGGAAATAGAAAATATGTAGAGTAATTTCACCCCAGAGATACTGTAAAGATCGTCCCAGGTAAAGAGGGTCCGTTAGAGATAGCTACTCAATTAAAATATGGATTTCTCTTTGTCCTGCTGGATAAAAGAAAACCAGAAGACAAAAACAGGAGAAAATTAAATGTGTTGGTGTATTGTCAGGTAGGGACTGACAGGGCAACTAAGAGCATCCATTATTCTACAGGGCTGGGGGGCACTGCAGATTACCAGGAGACGTCGATTTCGCTGGGGGGGGCGGAGGCTTTATCCGAAAAAACGTGGCTAAAGATTCAGCCCTCAGGACCGCTAGTTTCACTGAAATGCTCCAGGGCACACCCCCCCCCCCCCGCAGTATCATTTCATTTCATTTCAGCCTTAATCATGGCCATGTAATGCATGTCAGGGTAACGGATACTGCGGATCTCACGTCGCAGGACACGTAACTACGGAACGTGAACCAGTGGCTACTCGGTTCAACTCCACGGCTAATGATTCATGCCTTCCAAATTTCCATGCATGGTTCATGGTTCTGAAAAAAGATCATGCACAAAAACCAATGAGAATCACCACAATGACAACAGATCAATGCTGGTGAAGACTTGGCCACCGTCCCTGGTCCTCCTCTGGCTAAACAATATGCAGAATATTCAAGTTTTAGTTTAATATTTAAGGTTAATTTTTGGACCACCAATATTGTCCTGACCCAGCGGTTGGATGGATGAAGATGGATGGATGGACTGATGGACTTATTGCACTGGAGAAGAGAGATGGGCTGGCAGAGACAGTAAGATTTGAATGCGAAAGCTTTTTTCACGTTGCACATAAAAAGACGACCCTTTTAGAGGCTGTCAAGTTTCACAATATATCAAATTAAGATACGTTCGCAAAGAGTCCCTCAAAAAGCTGAACAAGGGCATCTTGTTTTTCTTCCCCCATAGGGGCGGAACCATTTAGCCATAACGACCCACAGGGGACTGGGCGACACGCTGGACACGGGGTCCGTAAATTAAAACCAGTGCTGAGCGTGATCGACGGCCAACAGGTATGGGCAATGAGGCATGCCTCGCACTGGTCAATAACTCCGGCCTTGGTGGGAAGGTTACACACCCCTCCCAGTCCCCTCCGAACATCGACACCTCCAGCCAACCAGGTTGACCCCCCAGGGAAGATCAGGCTCATCATCCCTGGCAGGCAGCAACGATTTTCATCTTTCAATGGAAACTATATATTGCTGCAGCAAGGGAGGGGGGTTGTGGGGTGTTCTTCACAGCCTTTACTTCTCTCTCAGACACAGCAGTGCCCTACGGGGGCCATTTTCTTGAAAGCGCACAAAGAACCACAGGCCTCAGAAACACAGCGGTACTGAGCTTCCGGGCCGGACCTCCGGTGCCGCCGGACTCAATTATGCAGCAGGACAAAAGATACAGAGCACTGCTTTAAAATTTACATAGCACGTAGACCGGGCACCTCCGCGGACCCCAGCCCAGCCGGACCGCGCCGCGTTTCCATCCCCGACGAGATCTTCTGCTGACATTCTACGACAAGCCGGAATTCCGGCTGACCCTGCTGCTGTCAATGAGAGTAAAGAAGCGGACATTGAGCAAACAAGGGGATGGTGGACGGGGGTGTTTACAGACTGGGGGGGCTTAGGCTGAATCGACCTTTTGGAGATCTGCGGACAGAGACAAGGGGTCCATCTGTCAGAGAAGTGGGCGGGCGAGTCACACAGAATTCCCAAATATGGAATCTGCCATGGATAATTCCTGTGGGGGTTGTGGGGGGGGGGGGGTTTCTGGGAGGAAAGAAAACCAATTCAGTATTCGTGTAATTAATAAATGAGGTTATTGAGCGGCGAGGTGCGCGGGGCTTTCGGAGCTGGCGGCGAAACGCTGACGATGCACAGCGCCGAGTTCTGGCCTAACGAGGACATACATCACATGTTAAGCGCGCGGGCAAGTGGAACACGGGCAAGCGGATCGCGGGCAAGCGGATCGCGGGCACACCGCCCAGCCAGGCTGCTCAACCACGCCCCAATCACGGGAGCCAAATAAACACGCAATGGTCAGCGGCGGAGTCCGACATGGGCTTGCAAGGCAGCCGCAGCAAGCATGACCGCCCCGTGGCGAACAGCCGAGGTCAAAACAAGCGACCACGTGCTAATTACGGGGTACAAAGTGTGTCTGCGCCATGAGCTTGCCAGCAAGGCCAATTAAAAAGTGCTCAATGACAGCAAGAGATCCAGTCTCTGCTTAGGCTTAGGGCACCTGCGACAGTCCATAGGAATAAAACCATCGCCGAGTCAGCCAGAACCACACTACACAGTGGGTCCCGGAACTCCAGGGTGCATTTTGGTTCAAGTCTGAGGAGCAGCTCTGTTGGACCTTCATGCTGGGTCTTTAACCCGACCCACCGCAAGAGCAGCTCTGAACAGACGCAGTACGTTCGCTTGGCCACCATCTGACCCAACGCAGCGATGGTGCCCCAGAGCCAAAACACACAAAGAGTCTCCATGACCATGAAGCGGAGGTGAGAGGGCCATCATTCTGGGGGGGCTTTTTCGGTATCAGGGCTTTTATCTTCACACCAGAGCATCTGAGAGGGGGGACGTCTGTCACACACAGCTTTGGGACAAAGTGACAGTGAGGGACAGGCTAAAATCACATGAGTGACGCTGCTGAAGTGAAAAATCTGCCGGGGTGTTAACATTTCATTACCCCCCCCCCCCCCCACGTTAACAGCCATAAATCTCCACAGATTGGTTTCCATTTCTCGTCCTTTGATAAATTATTAGCTACAATATGCTTATTTTGAATTATACATAAATGGACAGAGAAATCCCCAGTGCAACACCCAGAGAATGAGTAGAGTAAGCCGGACGCAGCAGTGTGAAGCCTGGGGCCAAGTCGCAGATGTGGGTCCCATTAGGGACGGACGCATTCCGGAGGACCACTGACCCCAGACAGACACCATGCTTAAACCACTGCGGAAGGACTGTCTCACCGCTTAGAATACCATTCTTAGGTAACAGGCTGTACCTTATAACATGTAACCACGGTAACATGAGCAACATATAAAACCTGTTTATAAAAGTCTGTTAAGTACAATATAAAAGACCCCTAAGGAAAATCACGGAGGTGTTTCTCCGGCGCGCGCGCGTGTGTGTGTGTGTGTGTGTATACACACACACACACACACACACACACACACACACACACACATAGGGAGGAGGTAAAACCATCCATAATATAAAAACAAGAACACCGCCCCACAGCAAAAAAGCCATAAATTTGAATTTATTTTCTCTGGAAATCCAATCTGCCCCGTCAAAATTAATGGCTCTATTCATGTTAGACTGTTGCTGTTACTT